ATTCAAGCCTAATAGTGATAGCATGCATAAATAAGATGAGACTAATCGGGATTTATAGCCAAATGATTGCGAAAGATAAAACATAGATACTATTGTACAATGATTTTCTATTTAGTCATAGTGTGTCACTTGATGACAAACAATGAATTTAAGTTGAGGGTGTTGATATACCGTGGTTTCACGGTATTTTAATGCTTTTTCCATAAGTTTAGTGTGTCCAAAAGCCTTTTTGTATTAATTTTTATGTAAGTTTCTTTTTATTTGCAGGAAATTTGTCTAAAAGATAAATGCGGAGGTTTTTGAGCAAGAAATCCAGAAATGTACCACCTACGGAGCTTGTGACGGTCCGTCGTGCCCGTGACGATCCTTAGGTGGCATCGTAGTGCAGATGCTGAAGGAAGATGGTGAAGTTTAATTATGTGTGGGGTTACGCAATGTGTGATGGACCGTCGTAGCCATGACGGTCCGTCCCGCTGGTTCGTCATGAAGATCAAAGAAGTAGTCTAGTACCCAAATTCCAAGAGTTCAAGTATTATGGAACGGATACCCCCGATGGACCCTTGTGCCTGTGACGATCCGTAATACCTACCATCGAGGGTAATGAAGAGAGCAGCAGAAGAAATTGCATAAGTATGGGACAACGGAGTCCATGACGGCCCGTCGTGACCACGACGATCCGCGAGGTCCGTTGAACCATTTGCATTTTGACAGATTTCCAGGAAATAGAGTCCTTATTCAATTAGGTTTTTAGTTTTTATAAAAAGTTCGAAAAACCTCGTTTTTGGGATTAGACTCTTGGTTATTTGAGCTTCTTTTGTGGATTAGACTTGGTGATTATTGTTACACTTTTGGAGAATCTTTAGTCTTCAATTAATTGCAGTAATTGATTGTTGGTGATTTTTGTTGATTAATCAAGTGACAGTTTGGATTTTATTCTTTCTCATTGAAGAAAGTGCATGAATTATTATATTACATATTTGAATATTGTGATTTTGACTATGGGTAACTAAACTCCATAACTAGGGTTGTGGGAACCATAGGCGAATAATGAGGTAAAACCTAACTAAAATAACAATTCTAGAATAATGTCTTGCATGTATTGATAATTCTTTCGCTTAGAAGTCTTTTTAACGGATGATCAATGTTAGAACTCGCCTTAATGCTACTTGTCGCACCAAGGAGGTAGATAATATAAAAAGAATTATCAACATATATTTAGTGTATACTATCTAATAGGCTAGTATTGATTGGTACGAGGTAATAACTTAGTCAAATATAGAATACGATGCTTACTATGAGGTAAAGGTAAGGGTTAGTATAGCAACACACATAGCCGGACCAAGTTGCAGAGTGAAATTATCTAGATGACAGACCAAGGATTTAGAAATACATAACTTATCACTTTGCATGCAAGATACTAGGAAAGAATTGTTATAGTTAGAATTATCAAGTTATGAACCTGTGAGGAACACTTAAACCCTAGTTACTTTTATTAATTGATTAAACTCCATTATTTGAAGCTGTTAGTATCTCCTTTAATTTAGCTCGTTTTTTTCATTCTTTTAGAAGTAAAAAAAACCCTTTTTTATTATCTTTGCTCTCCAAGGAACTAATTGACTAAATAGTAGTAATAATAGATTGAAGTTAAGTCTGAACTATTTTCCTCGTGGTAACGATCCCAACCTCATTAGTTGGGTTCTTTACCTGATACGACCGCTTTACTTCTTATTTTAAAAGTAAGTTTGAGAGTATCACCGCCCCGAAAAAGGTAATGCGTCCTCTTTTATAAATGTTCTTCCCTTCTTTCCTATTTGAACATGTTTTTTTTAACATCTCAATGTTTGAGCTCTTTGTAAGTCATTTTGAGTTCTACTTTTTTTTAATTATTATTTTTTATTTTTTTATTTTTATTTTTCCTAGTCTGTTTTAGAGTTCTTATGCAAAGTGAATGCCCCGCTCTTTTCTTTATCTTGACTTTACTTTCATCATGTGTTTGCATGTTAATTGAAAAGAAATAATGATCGAACTAGTCCCACATTGATTCTTCTATTAAAGAATGTCTTTTTGTATACTTGCTTTCCATAAAATTTAGTAAATTTCCTTATTTAATTTGCTTATTTATTTAACGACATCTTTTTTATTTTCTGTCTTAGAGTTTAACATTAATTTACAGTTCATTAGTTTATCATTTAATTTTTTACTATAATATTTCTAATCTTGTTACTCTTTATTTGAATGTGAAAACTTCATCCGAGTCCATTTCGGATTTCATCCCTGCATTTCGTTTAATTGAGTTCCACTTGAGTTATCCTCCTCGATGCCTGATGAAATTGGAAACTGAAATGGGTCTCGGAAAGAAGAAAAATAGGCTATATACATTCAGTATAGACTTATACACGACAAGTGTACGCAAAAATGGGAATTCGTTTAAACACAAAAATTCCGGCGAAATTGGCCCATAAGGGGGCCCAAATTCAACATCTCCCGCTTACACTTAATTGTTTTTATTTATTATTTTGTTTACTAACTCTAACTTCAGAATATTATTCCCCAAAAAGATGAGCTATATTCTTTATGTTAGTTTATTTAAATACAATTTTATTTTTATACTTCATTTGATAATATTTAGGCAAAACTTTTATTAATTCATCAATTAATTTAAAATAATTTATCATGATTTAATTAACCAAATTGATTTAAACTATCATATCTAAAGTGATTTGGATTAAACTCTTACATAATATAACTTTTTAAAAAAATTAAATTTTTTATCTCATCTTTAAATGTTAATCTTAATGTCATTTTTTTAGTGTTAATCCGTACCCTTTTTTTAGATGTTTTGAACACTTTCAGATAATTAAATTGGTTTCATTTTCCTAAAAAAATTCAAAAAAAAATCATCTTTTGTACACCTGATTAATTTTTGTCAAAGTTAGTTTTCGTAGGATAACCGCGTGTTAGCGGCCACTTTAAGTGCTAATACCTTCTTAAAGTAACACGCGGCCACTTTAAGTGCTAATACCTTCTTAAAGTAGAAATAAGAACATCTTACCCATTTTCTCTATTTTTATAGGTTTATCTGTTAAAATCTTTTTAAATCAAGTTTTCATAATTTATTTAAAAAATTTAGTGGCGACTCTTTCTAAATATTTTTCTTAATTTGTTTTATACTTGGAAACATTTCAAAAATGATTTTCTTGAGATAGTAAAATAACGGCATAACATTAGATCATCTGACAGTAATAATCTTTTGTTGGAGGTATAATTGCTAATATGACATTTTAAATTGTCATTAAAATCAGGTTCATATTGAATTTTCGTTATACCTTTAGTTTTTCTTATTCAATAACGGGAAGTAGGAGAATCCGAATCATTAGACATAGCTTCAAGTTAATTTTAAGAGTAATAATAGGTACCTGAGGCATACGATCAAGTAAAACATTATGAGAGGACCATTGGTTAATGTAGTGATTTTTGTACTTTCATTGTCTTCATTTGTGACTTCTTTATTGTTATTTCCTTATTCCCTAATTCTTTCATTGTCTTCATGTGTGAAAATACCTTGTTCCGATATATTAGAGCATTTTGTCTTTCCTCGTGAGCTTCTAATTCCAAGAATTCATTTTCTCCCCCTAAATCTGCATCCATCCGAGTCTCTTCTATGTAATTCTCCCCTGAAGATATCAGGATGTATTTCCACCTTTATAATATGGTTCTGACTCATGGAAAGATGTATTAAGAGTAACATATAGTTTCTTCTTTTTTGGATTATAACACCGGTATCCTTTCTGAAATTCTGAATAGACAAAAAACACATTGTCTTGCACACAGATCCAATTTTCCTCGTAAAGCTTTGGGAATGTGAGTATATACTGTACAACCCAACAACCAGGTTATAACTTTGGAAAATTCATAAGAGAACAAAGAGAATGGAGCTTTTTCTTCGGAGTCTCAAAATTGGAGACTCGAGATGGAACCCAATTAATAAGATAAGCCAAAGTCTTAACCGCTTCCCCTAATAAATAGTTGGCTTATTCATGCATGCACAAACAATCTTCATAGTTTGTCTATTTTTTTTTCTACTAGGACATTTTGTTACGGTGTGTATGTGTAGGCATTTGATGAGGTATACCCCTTTGCCGAAGATATTTGTCAACAGTAGATTGCATAAATTCTATGGCATTGTCAGATTGCAAAACTCAAAATTTTCACTAATATTTTATTTCTACCATATAGCAGACAAGAACATTCCCTTGTCTTTTTTCTTTGAAACTTTATTAACGTTCCCAAATGGATTAACTCCTTTATGAAATCCAGCATTGCTTCCATTCATGACCATCACTCCATCTATGTGAGGAAACGAAACAAACTGGAATTTCCTTAGAAAATTAATGCCAAGTATAATCTCAAATTCACCAAGCGGCATCACCATCAAATTATGTTTTCCCACCCAACTTTCAGTCGACATAGACACACAACAAGCCATACCCACAATGGCTTGTGCCTTAGCATTGACTATTTTAACGTAGGAAGGGTTTTTAGACAACTTCAGCCCCAATTTTGTAGCAATTTTCACATCTACAAACATTTGAGTGGCTCTCGTATCAACCATTGCTATCACATGTTGTTCTTTAACTGTCATTTCTATATGAAGTAGGGAAGCATGAGGATTTTTAAGTACTAGATGTTTCTTCAACATTATTAACCCACGTAATATGGTTGAAGGACAATCCCAATGGATTTTCCATTGCAGCCACAATTTCCTCATCTTCCTCCCTTTGATTCATATTTCTAGCAAGCAAAGCATTTACTTTTTCGTAGTGTGGACAAGACTTGTCCAAATAAGGACCACCACAAGTCCAACAGCCCTTAAAATTACCATCTTTGTTCTTTGGTCTGTCTTTACTGTCCTTCATTTGTGTCTTTCCTTTCTTATTTGTACAGTCCTTACGACTATTCTTTTTCCATTCCCCTTTCTTATCATTCTTTTTCTTAGTTTTCTAAGTAGAGGGAACATCTGTCAAAGGACGAGTTGTCCAAAAATCAACCAACGAATCTGCAGCAGTAATCGCCCCAGGCAGATCTTTAACATTCTGCCTCCGAAGTTCGTTTTGCGCCCAGCCTTGCATACCCGAAATGAAGTTGTGTAACTTATCCTCATCAGACATGTTTTGAATGTCTAACATCACAGAGGTGAATTCTTTATTGTATTCCCTCACTGAACCTGTCTGCCTTAGCCTTTTCAACTTATCCCTTGCAATCCAATAGGCGTTGCTAGGAAGAAATTGATTGCGCATTTCTTTTATTAATTTGTCCCACGTATCAATTCTAGGACAACCAACACTTACATCATCTTCATTTCGAGTTCTCCACCAAATTTTAGCATCACCCGTCAAGTACATTGTGGTAATGTTTAACTTGTCAATCTCAGGCACCCTTGCAGCAGTAAAATACTATTCCATGTCCCAAATGAAGTTTTCCATTTCTTTAGAACTTCTTGGACCACTAAAGGCTCTAGGTTCTTGAAGTTTAACCTTAGATGATTCAACACGATTTGAACTCAATGTAGCCACAGCCTGACACAATACAACGATCTCTGCACGAAGGTTTTCATTTTCCTTCTGCAGTCCCTCAAGTTGTTGTGTAGTTGTGTTACGAAAATTAAAGATATCAGTGATGTTTTATTAACATTCTGTCGATATGAATCAATTCCCCAGAACTTTCTCGGTGTTAAGTCTCAAATCAATTATTTTTGTCAACAGATACACAACGAATAATCTCCCGGAGTATCATCTGTAAACCCAATAAATGCTTCGATTTTTTGTTCCAGTTCCCACAGTTCTGCGTTTTTCACCATTGTTCAACAGTGCTCTAATACCAATACAAAGAGGGTCGATTTATTTATGCCAAACACCACTCTAGGCAGTCTTGCAAACGCCTACAACACTCGGCCTATCTTACTCCCACAGATTTGACTAAGTATAGAAATACTTAAGCAGCAAAGTTAAAAAACAAACAGAATATACAGGAACACGTCCCAACCTTTATTAATCTTATAATTAATACAAAAGGAAGGCTTCACGAGTTTGTCTAAGGCCAGAATCACACTCTCTAGCCTTAAACAAAATTTCCACCCTTATAAAATTTCTACACATGGCAGTTACATGCGGCAGTTACAAATGATACCTATCCGACACTTGTCATCACAGGATTCAAACTAAGTTTCAAATATCAATATTTCTAATTTAATTCAAATGACATTCTTATCCACATGAAATATTAATATTCTAACACTTAGAATATTTCAGGCTACATTCCAACAATTAGAATATTTCAGCCAACTTCCAATACTTAGATCATTATAGCTGCCCTCCAACACTTAGTTTTATTTCAGCAATTCACGTGAAATGCCTTTGATTTTGCCATTGTCAAGTCTTAACAGCTTTGCCTTGTCAAGCCAACACGCTGCCTTGCCGATGACTCTAACCCGCACGTAAGCCTTTGCCAACACCCAAGCTCCTTGAACATGTGTTGCACTATTTTTCCCCCATTCATGTCAAGACCAATGCCCAAGTCCTTTACATGTCTGCACATAGTTAGATCAAGTAGTTTACGGGTCTAACAGATTCCTAGCAATATCATTTCCCCATTTATGCGGATCAAAACTTACCTAACGAAGAATTTCACAACGAATTTTCAAGCTTAGAAAAATATAGTATGGTAAAGGAACAAAGAAAAATAGCATATCGAGTTGAATATCAACAAGGTAAATGCAAATTTTGTGGGAAAGTGAGACAAACAATGGTCCATTGGCTCTTCTTGCTATTGTTTAATTTCTTGTGATGAATCCTCGCTAAATGGGATGAACAAATTCAATCTTGTATTTAAATAAAGATTTGGGATTCACTCTTATGGTAAATTCTATTGTTGAGCTAATTTTGTTATAGACTCTATTCAACACACTTTTAGTCAAGGGGAAGCAACTAACGAAATTTTGATATACATAACACACTTTTAGTCAAGGGGAAGCAACTAACGAAATTTTGATATACATTTAGGCTTTACTTCGTATTATTCACCAATGAAGCCATAAGTGTTACAAAAGTAGTGGAAGCAGAATATCAAAAAAAAGTGAGCATAAAATTATTCTTTCAAACCGCATCCATCTTTATTTCCTGGGAAATAGGAAGAAGTGGACAACATGCAGGTTAGGGATTAGAACATGTTTCCTAGGAAAATTAAATTCAAATTATCTGGAACAATATGGTAGTTATGCAGCGCAATGTATCCTACTTACCATATCAGAGCAAACTAGCTTAATGTCTGTCACACATGAGGCTACAACATTATGTTACTATCAAACAAACTAAATGGGAGAAACTTGCACTACATAATTACAAACTGAATGTTGATGTATATTTACACGAACTTAACGGAAAGTCAGGAATATGTGTTTCATTCAATGATACTAATGGGGACTTTACCATGGCTTATTCCAAACTAGTTACATGTAGCAACAATAAATATTCTAAAGTATCAAGTGCTACAAATTCTGTCAATGGTGTGAAGAGAAGGGCTTTCGACAAAAACGCTACACAGATGAATTCTTTGGTGATTACAAACATGCGCAATATGAAAGACACAACAAACTTGAAACTAAAGAGGATTATTAATGATATTAATTCTAGAATCAGGAACGTGATCTGTTGACTATTGTTACTACTACAGGGAAGCCAACATTAATGCAGACTACGTAAACCATAAATATATCACCACAACACCCAAAAATTGAAGATACCTTGAAATCAAAATGATCATGTACAGTGACCACAATATAGTGCTTGTATTCAAAATTAAGTAGGACAACATGGAACACAAATTTCATGCAATGTATCTCAGACTAAACAAAAAGTAAATAAGTGAAAAGCATATAGAAAGTTCATAGAATAAGGGTAGCTCTACATTTGAAAGTAACATCATATAATTATGTGATCTTGATTCATCATCCATGCATAAAATAATTGGAAAATGAATCATGCCAACCTCATTGGACCGTACTGTTACTGCATTCATCCATATATCTCCATAATACACTTGAACAAACAGGCAAAGCACATGAAAATAGATTCAACCAAATAGCATTAAATATTTTTTTTTAAAATAAGAACTTATAACCTATTATTAATAAAAATGATGCCACTTAAATTTGGGATCCTAAGGCATATGTCTTTTTGTTTACACGGTCGGGCCACCCCTTATTGTTGGAATTTAAAGTTACACCGATAACTACACGTACTTCAGATAAACTAACAATATTTCAATTACTATTTGGTCATTCTAATTCTATAATGACAAATATTTACACAATATATCATATAAATTTCAATGAAGGCTTCAAAGTAATTCGAACCATCCTTTTTCTTTCCCTTTTAAGCTATGTTTCTAAAATTGAAAGAACTACACGGCATAATGAAATCTGCAACACTAGAACAAGAAGCAACATCTCTGTATGCATCACTTATCCTAGATTTATTGTTTATTTATTGAGAGTAGCACACAAGACATTTGTAGCTAAATCACGAAATTCACTTACTTCGTGAACCCTCCATTCTGAAGATGTTTACAACTACTCGAGAATTTAGCATAATTTGAATTCTTTTAAAAGATATTATATCACAGACAACAAAGACAATATCTTGGAAACAATCTTGAGTTATTGATTGATGATATTGTAGCCATAGAAAAAGTCAGTAAGGATAATGAAATTGACTTTATTGGAAAAGAAAAAAGAATAACCACGTCAGATTCACAAATATTACAAGATATCTAATTTGGAGTTGAAGGTACCATCATTTGAAGATGATATTATTAACAATTTATGTATGTTCCCAACTGCAGTAACTTCTAGTATATGTTTTATTTACCACTTGTTACTAGTTTGTATAAGTCTACTACTATATGGAAAACATTTAGGGGTAGTATAGTTCTTATTATCTAGGATTAGTTGTTGTAGATCATGTGCAGGTTTTGGCCTGATGCTTCTTATCTGATCATGATCAGCGACTCTTGCCTACAGTCTCATTGTCTACGAATCGAAGCGAGTACAGTAACCATACCAAGGCTATGGATCGTGTCCCAAGGGAGAGGTAGTGAAAATAGTAGTAAAACTAGAATTTCAGTTCTAGTTAGTAATAGTTTGAGAATTTATCAAATAAAAATAAAGTAAATTTAGTTTGGAACACCAAAGTATCAAATATAAAATTAAGGTTTGTCACAAGTTTCGTAAAAAAAAGAAGGGGAATCAAGTATGGGGAGACGTTATTGGGGTCCGACCATAATATATGTTAAAGTAAACCATTGGGTTCATGCTTTCAATAGGAAATTCGAATGATATGATGACTAGGCTAAGCTTTAGGTGAAATTAAATTCCCTCTCGGTCAACTTACCCCATATTAAATGGGTTCCTCCAGGACACCCACTCGTTTAATAAAGACCACCCTACTTCTTATCCACACCTTTTCTTTCAATGATGAGTGGTAGGATATGGTAATAGGGTTCACCCTTTCGGGCTGAACATCGTGTCGCCCCACTCCTTGGGCCATCATTCTAGCGGTCTTGGTTTCACGACCTCTCTCTCTCGAGCAAGCCGAAAATACATGAGTGGTTTTGTATTTGATACTACAAACCCATTAAATTAGACCACAACCACTAGGTGAAATAACCATTAAAATGCATATAACCTATCAGTAAGCAAGACCCAAAAATAATATCAAAACATATTTTCTAAATTACACCCAATGAATGGGAGCTTTTAACCACACATCAAGCAATAACCAAATACACCTAACATAATAAAGAAATCAAATGGGTACATGAAATTAAACCTTAATATGATCAAAGTAATAAGAATGGAAAAGACCCACTTCCATATGAGAAAGAAGATCTCCTTTGTTCAAGTCTACCACAAAAACCTCTCGAAGTTTGTACAAAAAACTAAAGTTCTAAAAGTAAAAATTATTAATAATGTTTAACCTCTAGAAAAATATCACCTACAGGTAGTATTTATAGCTTTCAGATTAAGTTCTTTGAATCCTTTCGGCAAAGTTAGTTTTGAATTTCCGAGAAGTTTGGTGATTCGCCCTTCTTCTAGTTCATCGCCATTTGTTCTTTGCCTCCAACGTCTATGTGCAATGGATCATTGTGTGGAATAATTATGATTCCAAAAACTATTTGGTGAAGAGCCCACTGCTCATTTTAATGGCCTTTTTTATCCGCTTCCGTCACTGCTTCATTTGTTGGAACAAACAACAAAATGTGTACTTGGCGATGCTCAGGCTTCAACTTTAGCTCTTTTCATCCTTTTTGTTCCTGTGTTGAGCCTAAGTGTACATGCTTACACTAA